AACTGCCACAGCTGCAAGCGATCTTATAGACACCAGGTTTTTCCAAGGGGAAGTTGTCTTTAGGAGACCGTAGATATTGTGAAACCTTTCGTACAGGAGTGAAGACAATGTTTAGTGAGTACTTTTTCAATATGTTTGAGATCTTGTCAGTCACTCCTTTGACGTATGGCAAATAAACAGGTCTACTCTGTGTCTCTGGTGTCTTAGTTTGTGTCTAGATGGAAAATGTCCCTGGTATCCATTACTCTGTAAGACTCGTCGTACATGCTCCAACTCTTCTTGAAGATGTTCCTCATTACACAGGTCATATGCACGGTTCGTCAGCGAAGTCACTACAGAGATAAGATGTTTAGGGTGGTGATGCGAGGAGGCGTTGAGATAGCGGTCAGTGTGTAGGTTTGCGGTAAATGGAATGACCAAGCGAACCGTCATTCCTCACCCGAATCTTCACGTCCAGAAAGGCCAGACTTCTGTCTTCTTCCATCTCATCGTCAGGGAAGTGATTGAAATAACAAAACATAAAAAAAATTTCAATCGTGAGGACGGGTTTAAATTGTCTAGTGTCTAGAATCCTGTGATTCGTATGAGTAAAACCAGAAATAATCAAAAAAAGTGTCGTGTCGCGATCCGATACTGTAAGTGGTGTGTGTCGAGAACAGTTTCCAGTGAATAGTGAGAATGTGAACAGTGGTATGGGTATCGAACGCAATAAAAGACTTCGTCGGAGGGTAGACCGATATGTCTGCCAATAACAGATGAATCTGCCAATAATGATTGATTACCCTGTGATCATGGCGCTTGCAACAGTGCCGAAATATCGAAAACTCGCTAAAAACAAGGTACATGGTAACAATCCCGTAAATAATTTATATTTCCAACCTTTTTTGTCGAAAGCCATGAAAGTCAAGGGTTTTGTAATTTTGTAACATATACAATTACTAGTAATATTCTAAAGCTACCAACATCACGTGATAAATATAGTTTAATTTTATTATGACTTCCATGAACTCGGATGTGCATTTCATATCCCTCAAAATATGTTCTCTATTACAGATACACAGCTAGACGAGACCAATAATGTTCCTATATGACAAAAACAGTCAAATCATAAACAAGAAACATTACCGGTATTCATGGAGAGTTACGTGAATTATTTAACCATTAACGTCAAGAATTCAATATTAGTAGCCGTGATCAAAACGAGTAAATTGCAGAAGCTTGTTTTTCGTTCTTAAATGAGATAATTTAAATTATAATGATTTTTTTTGTTGATATCAACGTTTTTCGTTATCGTTGATATTAAACTGACATAGGCCCATAGTGTGTGTTTAGTTATAAAAGTGTTAAAGTACAGTATTAAGCACAATTTTGTTAACATTTTTTAACACCTGCTATTGTAACTTTAATATGAAAACCTTTCAAATATTTTCAATATTTATTATGACATGACAGCACAATCAACTTTTTATATACTTAAACCAATTTCGAAAAACATATCAGTTTCGTAGATGCATTATTTACATCCATGAATTTCTTTCCAATACTCACCCACACCTAGGATTTGTTATCATGAGTTCTACAAATGGTTTTTAAGGTTCAAATAATGACTGAAGCGTTAACATGACTGATAGTGTTATCGTAAATTTTTACTAAGAAAACCTGCACCAATCGATCAGACTGTTTATTCGCTGAAACCTTTTTTAACTTTTAAGATTTATTTTTATACGAGGAACGGTAAATTGCACCATCTCCACGTGAAGTTAAGAGTAAGAGTACTTCAGCAGCTATATTAACTGATACGACAAAGAAGTGAGCCGCTCCAGCAATCCTTACCTTGCTGATCTGTACCCTAGCCTCTACCCCGTGGAGCCATGGAACCTTACTAACCAACAGAAACGCAATAATACCACCAAAAGTAGTTTTCTTCTGAAACGTGGTGAGATTCAAGAGGGAGCCCCTACTACCTAAAGCTCATAACATAGTTTCCTCCTGAATTAGGTATATATTTTTTATATTAATAAAAGCAATCAAAAAAATTTTTTTTATCATCATTGTGTCGAGTACTTCTAAAAGAGCTATATTTATTTAATTATATTACAACGTAGACACAGGAATCCTTTTTAGTAAATCACCCACTTGAATTCAACGATAATAATAAAATGAGGGTCGTAAATATTTTTTTTATTGAGGTCCAATGGAAAATAATGTCGCTTTGTTCTTATGAAGCAGTGAAGATGCTAATGTTTATGACTCATCATTATGTTACGTACGCTTGCGGCTGCTTCGCTTACTGGCTGGCTACTGATTTAGAATTTTAATGTCGTCGTGGTATAATAAAACTTAACCTGAGATCTCATTAATTGATGCCCCTCCAGGTCATTTGACAAACAGGAAGTCTCAAGTAGAGTAATGATCTCAGAAAAAGACTACTATCCGAACAGAACTGTATTTACATATCATTGGGAAGTTTACATTGTGCTATTTTCATATATTAGTGAATGTGTTTGATGAATGAACAAATACATACTGCTACTTTCTTGGTATCTGGAGAATTCAGTGAAATTGAAAAAACGGTATAATCAATTTTTATAGTAGACTAGCTGACTCGGCGAACTTCGTACCGCCCAAAAGTAATAATTAGCAATAAATTAAAATTGCGACTATAATTTGAGATTTAAACTATCCTATCTCTCAAGTTGGATCGAACTGCACATGGTGTGCGAATTTTATTATAATCGGTTAAGTGGTTTAGGAGTCCATTGAGGACAAACATTGTGACACGAGATTTATATATATTAAGATTTAGCAAGAGTTGACTGTCTGTAGGTACATACAATAGGTATAATGCATTTTCAAAGCCTGTTTATCCCTTCACGATTTTAAATGAACAATTCATGTATATATATCCCAAGCTTAAACCTATTTTAGATCCAAATATTACATAGTCTGTGCGCGAAAGTACTGTACCAGCATGATTTATGAAAACAGGAAATGCTAAATCTATATCCGCCATATAATCATAGTGTTTGCTGAATAATAGTTATTGAATTATTATATGATATTAAAATGGTGATAATGAAATAGATACCTATGGCAATATGCACACCATTTAAGTAAATGAAAAATGATATGTCTATAAAATATCGCTGTTGCTATGTGTGTAGCTGTCTTCAAATTCCAATAAGCTTACTGCTATTCAATTTCCTGGATAAAGTTTTAATAAAATTAATAATGAAATATGCAGGGAAAATAAAACACTAGAAACACCTTTCGCGGTTTTATTAGTCTTTGTAAAGAAACTGGCGAAGAGCACGAAGGTGCAATGCCAAGGGAGATAATAATTTGCTATCATGAATCGGCACAGAATCAACGCCAATCGTGACCGAGGCCTTAACTGTGTAATGGGCAGGCGCCTATTTATCCGCAATTGGTGATCTATCCACGCCGCCACCACGAGAGAACTTCAAACAATAACTGGTTGAGAGGTAAAGTAAATTGAATGATTATCTTTTGCCTTAATCCACTAACCGCAATCAACGTCGAAATTTTTGATTACGTTTTATAATCCTAAACTTGTGCACTGATCACATTAACTACCTCGATGGCGTATTTATATATAATCGTGTAATCTGAAGATAATGTTCAGAGTATCGCATTTTTAACGATTACACGTTAACCCAGTAAATATAAATAGAAGACACTAAAAATATCCAATACTCATTCAAGAAAAGATAAAACAATAAATTATCAATAAAGCCGAACTGTAATCTGTAAAGTGTATATTTTACTACACAAACAGAACTCGGTGAAATTCATCATTGAATCCACAATCGGTGCTCACGATTCACAATATTTGTAGTGATCGTGACAAAGAGGTCAGGGGTCTGAAACAAATGGCTGCTGGTGTGACTGTTTAAACCCAGAAATTTAATCCGTGCCTAGGTCAAACTCTCTATGTCGATAATAATAACAAAACACTATATAAAGAGTATCAAGGAGTAAAAACGAAAGTTTCTCAAAATTATCTTGCGCGTGTTTGTGCATTACGGGGTTATTATTTGCTATGATTTCAATATCATAAAAAGTGCATATAGGAAAAAACAACATTGACTAAAACTATGTATATCAAAACTTAAAGCGAGTTTAATAGATTTAAATACCTACTTATTATAGTAGATTTATATTAATTTGAAATAACTGAAAACATTAAAACGATGTTTCTTTAGTTGAGCCTGTTTTTATTCCTCTACGGAAGTAGGTGTAGTACCTAGTTTTTTAGATCCAAAAGTGAACGGAGTTTCCAAATGCTAGTTTATTTCGCTCACAATGGCGTTGCCACTTGTTCGCACCGATTCGCAATTAATAAACATTGTGACCCAGTATCGCGTGCTACATGTTATCGAATCACTCTTATCGGTTAATTAATTCTAAATGTTGAGCTTTTACCGTCTTTGGATTTGGTATGACGCTCTATGCGTGACCGTTCGGCAATAAAGCTATTAAAGTCACTTTCTTCTCATGTCCCTCCATCAAGGTCCCGTTTGTTTAGAATTCTGAATCACTTATCTTTCGATAAATCCTCATGAAGAATTGTCCAATTTGTTGAATTTGTTAACGGTTTTCGTAATTTTGTTATGCCAGCTGCAATAAAACATTAAAGATGTTGCCACAACTACCTTAAGTCAACATCATCAGGTTCAAAATACGTGTTTAAACAACCTTGTCAAAATCCTTGAAATGAATTAATAAGTGAAGTTATTACGAGAGAGCTTGAAAATATGCAACTATCATTGTCATTACTGTACACTGTATTGTCATTACACTGTATTGTCATTCATACCCAATAGGAAATATATTCCTATTGGGTATGAATGCAAATACCAAAGTCAGTATAAGATGAGTGAGGACAGTAATAAGTTTAAACATGTAATGTGTCATTAACATATTCAAAAATGTGAACAAATCCTGGGATGTTCGACTGAGTGCACTGAATGGCTTACCATAAATTAAACTGTGGATAGGGGGAAATCAATGCGTATCAATACTCCAATAGCCACATGAACTCGAATACAAAACCACTTTTTGTTTCGAGTTTATTGAAACGTATCACTAGTCGAACCAAACAGAAGTAATAGCACTTTTCACAAAACACATGCTCCAATTGCACAGCACTGATGAAGCACTAAATCTGCTAATACCACAAACACTGAAAGCCTACACACGTTTCTTCACAGTTATCTGTTAAGGTTTTAGCGTAACAGGGTGAAGTAATCGCACGTTCGATTCGCAATGCGAAATTTAGGCGGTGTAAGAAGTGTTCGCCGTTTAAAAGCGACAGTTAAACCGACACTACCGGTCGAAAACGTTCCAAATTCGTATCGGAAGGTCGGTGTTCAACACGCGGAGTAATACGACACGAGTGAGCTGCGCAAGGAGCGCGAGCAAACTGAAGCAGGGGCGCCACCGTGCGCAGCCGAGCGACGCATCTGACCAAGCAAGCAGAGTGGACTTCAAACTTTTACCCAACTAAATTAAAATCCACTAACTCCTACGTTACTATGAGATGCGTGACTTAATTCTTAAGTTGGAAGGTTTACTAAATTGCAACAATATTCAAACATGGACAAGTGACTTGGGCAAGGCTCTTGAGCATATGACATTCATTTAATGAACAATTAAACACAAGGTGTGGAGTACTGAGTTGTAAAAGCTCAGTTTGTTTACTCGGATGGAAATAGTTATTAAAGAAATTCAAATTTGAACTCCTGTAATTTAAAATACCTATGTTGCTTCATCATTTCTGACAAGTTTGGCTTAAGCAATCAAATTGTTTCTTTAATATCTCGTGTTACAATATTTAAGAAAGTCAAAAAATAAGCATGTAGTGAACTATTGACGAAATAAGCCTAAAATGGACGTTATATTATTACACTGTACAAGATTAGAACCTACATATAATAATGAAAGTGGTTATTGTTTTGTGAGGGCACGCATTAAAGTACGACTGTCGATTTAAATTAATGACGACTAGTATAAAAACGAACACAGATATGTAAGCGTAATGGATAGTTAAAATAAACCTGCAATTAAGCTTAAACATAATCGAAAGTACCGATGCATATCTCGCGACCGGTTCCTGGTATCATATTTGCATACTTTAGAGACAACATTAAAATATTTAAGATTTACAGAGATGAGTTCCATTTGAGCGGAAAATTTCATCAGAAAAGCAAGCAAATTATGAAATTAGTGGGATAGGAAAGTTTGGAGACTACTGAAACGATATTGTATTAGAAAGGTTATTATGATGTGATCGTGATCGCATCTTCTGCTTTTATGGATTTGATAGGTCAACGAGCCGTATGATGATATATTCGTTCGTGTGAAAAGATTTGAAAGTAAGCTACGTGCGTTGAAAACAAGAAGTTAGAAGCAAATTACACAGGATCATATACACCATCCATCACCTCACACACTTTAATAATGAGTGCAATAAAAATATGCCCCTTCCTCGTCTGTATGACTCAACTTTAAGTAGACTCCAAAACCATTAGACACTGTCGTCGTTAATGTTCCAGCTTCCAGGAATTTATTATAGTTAGTTACATAGATATCATTATATTGATATTTGAAATAAAATCCAAAAAAAAGTCAATAGGGTTGCATAAATTAAACAATGGTTATTGAATATAAATGAAAAAATGCCTCTATCTGATACAAAATCTAGAAAATATTTCTGTATTAAAAAAACCCTTTTTTTTAAACAAATTATTATAAGTAACATAGCAATGAAATTAGCATTTACTGTTTAAACATAAACCTTTCGTTGGGGACGTTTTGTATGGTTTTGTAATGTAGTATGCAAAGTGAGTACTACACTTAACTATGGAATCTAGATCCCCACGGCGAAAGGAATCCAGACTCATAACTATGGGAAATGCAGATTATTTGGAACGAGTTTTGCGAAAACTATTTACAATTATAATGTTTCCATTTGCAGTATATCTGATATTCTATTTCAACGGCTTGCTAATAAAATTGGATAATGCAACGTTGACTCAAACCAGTATATAAAATTTGTTGTAAACTACAGAAAAGTGTGGGCAGCTTGTACCAATAAGGTTGACAAGACGTGATACCCAAATAAGAAAGCATTTAATTTCAAAAATAATCTATTTTGAATATTGTGGTTATGTAAAATATTATAATCTGTTACAATACTCTTAATGATTTGGGACGAAAGTAAGTAAATGTCAATTAACTCAGTAATCTGACCGTTGTAGTCATATCCTGTAAAGTATTTATGTTTATAGGATATTTCTTGTATCTATATGAAAACCCCTATGTACAAGATGAAAACAAATACTCTTCTTCACATATATGAATTTTTCGTAATACATTTTTGCAAGAGAATAGTTGGGTATATAATATAAGTTATCACTACATTTCTTTCTTTTTTCTTCCGTTAGTCTTCGTCTAATTTCCAATTTCATTCTTGTGTTTCAAAGAATATCTAACGTATTTATGATTTTATACACACACAGGCTTTGTCCAACTATTTACACCCTTCGATAAACAAGCTTGAACAACTTCGAGGATTAAGCATGGTGAAATACGTTTAAACGGAACACCTACAAGCACCATTATTTAGACCACTGCTGATCTAATTAGGATCATATTTTTTACCATGGCCAAGAACGGCGCGCGACCACGTGAGAACAAACTTAATTATAAAAGGTGACTTGATACGAACACTATTCATCGTCATAGATACGATCAAATCATTGCAAGACAATAATTACGAAGTCGTCGCTTCAAATCTATCAAACTATAAATCAAAGGATTGTGGCAGATTAGTAAAAGTATATAATGAGCGTGTGCCCAAATGTGTGATAATGATAACTTTCATGTGCTCTACCATTAATGTAGAGAGCTTTAGTAAATAATGATAATGAAAATATTTCAATAGATACTTTTTATCTGTCCGACACGATTTGTCGAAAACTTTGGAGAAGGTCAACAAAAGATTAATTCATATATGGTAACGTCACTTATGATTTTCCCTGATTTCTTACTAAATTTTAAGGATTTACAAAAAAAATGTTTATCATAGGTATTTATTTGTAATCGTTTCCATATGTGTAAGTACATACAAATGTAGTGACTGTAGTGTTATTTTACTTTAATCTCGAAAAGAGTACAATTTCAATTCTTTTCCTAGTTACAATGCTTGTTGTTGAATGGTCCCAATGCCATAAGCACAATTTATCAAATTCAGATCGACAGTTTTGTAAGGCAACCACCAATCTTATGTCTTTTGTGATATTAGGGATTTTACGTCTTAACAGTAAAGAAAAAATCTATAATTAATGAACATTAAGTCTTTTGGAAAGTTGTAAGAGATAAGGTAAGTAGTAGATACAAATATAAGTTTAATTAAAAAAAAATTTCAAGGTCCACACCTCGTTTCAGGTGGTGAGCACAGATTACGCCTGCGAACTCTGCGCCCACGCACCGCGCGCCGGGGTGAAGGTCAATCGGTTAAGTATATTTTATAAACATAACACATTCTCACATTTCTAACGATGCAAAGAGATGTCTGGGATTTTATTACAATAATCTATCATACTTAAAAATATTCTACTTGGTGTTTTCACAACCCACACTGAGTTTAGTTTCTCCAAAGATAATAATGTAATGTAAATGCCAGAGTAATAGTAAATTCAACATTCGTTTTACATTAGGTTCAAAAATATTTGTATGTTTCATTATTTATACACACACCAGCCCTTAGGATAAAAAAAAGGGTTAGCAAAGTTTTCAATTACAACACAGCACCATTCTTCAAGAGTTTCTAATGTCTGAACAGTGTTATGTTAAGACAAAGGCTCGTCTAGGCTTAACACTATAAGCGACGAGTCTCATAAGACGCATGCAAGCCAAAATAACTTTTATATTCTTCAAACTAAGACTGGTTTATTAAATTTAAAACAGCTTTGATAACAGCTGATTGTACACAAACAGAACACATACCGTTACAATATCTCGTATAGTAAGGTAAACTCTTCCTAGTGAAAATAACGAAAAACTATATTACATACCTAAAGTATGGAACAATTAGGCATTATTAACAACTAAACTTATTATCCCAAAAAATTTAAATGTGTCAAACACGAGTTCAAGAAAAATTGTCATACTAAATTTGCCTAAAGATGGTTTAAAACAACTTATTTTTTTGTAGTAACATCGTAATAGTTATTCTGCATAAACTTGAATCCATTTATGTTTGAAATTTGAATTCACGTTAACTACTGATACAAACTATTGACATATATGTATGGTAGGAGTAGTAATAGAAATACTGTCTACGACATAAAACCTTTTTGTTATTTAAGTTATGAATTACTTTTTTTTTTGACATTGTCACTTGCATTTTTTCATCGTTTCAAACCACACAAATATAATAAAATTATAATATAAAATATTTAAAATCTTTAATTAATTTCTTACAAGAACCCAGTAGTCTTCACACGGGTCTGCATATACATATTGGTGCCGAAACTTTTTTAATGGACTGTGAGGAATCATCTATTTTAAATGATAGCGATATGGAGCAGTCGCAAGAGAGCTCGAGCAGTTCGCAAGCAGTAACACAAGTAAGCAATGACTCTCTTACATTAAAATCATTGCGAATTTCTAGAGGACAGCAAAAACGAGCGCTTACAAATATTGAAAAATATCTCGATACTCTCGATAGTATGGAGCTAGACATAGTCGCTCTTAAAATTCGTAAGAAAATGTTAGAAAAATCCTTTGCAAATTTTCAAACCATACAACATGATATTCTATGTATAGACGACTCTGATGACGACAGTGATGAATTTGAACTACGTTTTTACAACTTGCTTACAAAATTAGAGAAACTATTATCACGAAACCAAGCATCAGTAGATGCTCAAAATTCTGTGGCATCTACATCGAGTTGTTTAAAATTGCCACGGATAGATATTGCTACCTTTGATGGTAAAATAGAGAACTACCGATCATTTCAGGATTTATTCGATTCATTAATTCATCAAGATAAAAAATTATCAAATGTTCAAAAGTTATATTACCTCAAGCAATATTTAAAGGGAGAACCGTTAGAAATTATAAATAACTTACCACTTACAAACGAATCTTATGTCTCTGCGATTGATTTATTGAAAAGGAGATACGATAACCCTTCCATATTAATAAGTAAGCATATAAACACGATATTAGATTTACCTGTCTTACATCGCGGCTCTGCAGAACAATTAAGATCTCTTACTGTGAAGGTTCGACAGCAAATGATGGCGTTGCAGAATTTGAAGCAGCCGGTTAATATGTGGGATTCTATTTTGTTCTGTATTATTTCAAAAAAGCTAGATACGCTTACTTTACGACTTTACTACTCAGAGATGTCAA